CCGATGTCACGAAGTGTCACTATTCCGAACTAAACTATTCGGTCATATTGAAGTGGCGAAAATGAAGAGTTAACGAGCTTTTCGTGAACAGTAGCGAAGGTTCACTTGAGCCGGTTCGATTCATGAACAGTCGCGAAGGGCTTCGATTTTCGTTCGGGCGAACCGAACCTCACGAACGAGACATGTTTGTTTGTCCAAAAATAAATAAATAAATAATTTCTAAACAACGTGTCTAGTTATAAAAACCAAGACAGCCAAGGCGCGTCAGGGGTGACCACCTAGCTTGGCGTAGGCCTCTCCCCTTCCACATAAGTGGGGCACCCTCTGGGGCCCAAACCCATTTGTGAGCGCCTAATTTCAACTATTTGAACCTATCTCTCATCTCTCTTCTATTCAATGTGGGACACTTTCATCCACACACTTTTCATTCAATTCTATGGAATTTGGATGTCAAAATCCCAACAGATTATGCCTTATGAACACAAGAACAAGTGGAGTACCCTTTTTTTGCATATTAGCTTTTTAGTGTGTCTTTCGGTTTTTGTATGTGCATAAGAATGTAGAAAGATTGATTTTTAGTTGAGGAACTCAAGGTACGGAAAAGCCATGATGTACTCCATTTCAGATCAAGGATTGTTGCCGGTGACTGGAACATGTAATGGGAGTTTTAAACTTTTTTGCTCAATAATTAGCGTGGAAAATCAAATTTATTCATTGCAATTGCAATGTGATGCAATATGTCTAGAGGCTGTAGCAGCAATTGCGGTTATCTGATGAACGTACCTGGTATTCTTTTAGAAGCTTGTTGTCATAATTTAGCCTATTAATCTTGTGGAGGGTATTCTGTTGAAAAATAAGATTCTTAAAAAAGAGTCAATTAATATACTAAATTTGATCGATCCTTCCGTCATGTTGGATTAGTAATTGCTTTGGCTTTTGGTAAATTCTGGTAACTGGTCAAGTCAAGTGACTTCAGGTAAGCTGTAAGCAAGCATGATATACTCGCTGAAATTTCATGAAAACTTCTTAAGCAAACCAAGATAAGAATTATTGTCATTCTCGTGTTGATTTCTTAAATTTGATCACTTGCGTGAAGCACTAATTAGCTATTAAACTAACCAGCACCGTTCTTATGAAATTAAATGAGAAAAAGAAAATTCTGTCTCATTCCATTGTTTGGAAGTATTTGATGACATCGCTACCACCCTCATCATTGATTGCAAATATATATTCCCCTAAAGTTGAAGGGAAAAAGGGAGCTTATATGATTATTAATTGCGGACTTGATGTGCCGTACACAGGGGCTGAGGATGGATCGTGGAATGCTCTTTTGTTATCTTTGAAGACGTTATATATTCTTGCGTACCATAACATCCTAGTTAACAAACTTATAATGGTGGATCATTATCACTCAATCTTCTCGGATCCAACTGCCATGGATGTCATTAATGAGTCATACTTGCCAGGAAATTGGATGAGGCAGATAAGTATACGTATTGCGCCCGCGATTATCAAAAGCCTTCAGCTTAATGGTGGATCTTTCGAGTCTTTCCTACTAGCAATCTTCACCCTGTTATATAGCCAAGCAAATCTTACGTTGATCACAGCCAAGAAGACCATAATCTTATACCAGGTAACTTTGATGAATTTTGGTAGATACATATTCACTTCTTTGGTTGATGATCTAGATCCTAGTTACAAATTCATTCATGGAGATGGTGTGTGAAAGAATGGCCACAGGCTCACTATGGCCTGTCCAAAGAGCCGGTCAGTAAATCGTGTCCATAACTGGTTCAACACGATGCTGAATCCACATGACTTGCTATCAGTAAGTTACAACATTTGGACATGAGCTGCAGACATGATGAGACATATATTGCAGACTTACTATCAATGAACCGCACATGTTCAGGAAAGATTGTACTTTATTGCTCACTTAGGGAAAGTGTGATTAACATTATATTCTCTTAGACTCAACTTACCATGTGATGCTACAGAATTGAAGAGCTGCATATGTTTAATGGCAAGTGATATCCGCATAACCTTCACTTCTGCATAAGGAGAACCACAGTATGAGCTGCTATACTCCGGTTTTCTCCAAGGCTATCGACCTTCTTGTGAGTTTTTTGCTTTAAGGTTGACAGTGGTCGGATCTGCTACAAGCAACTCAAAAGTTTTTCCTGATAGCTTCCTTGTGTGGGCTGACTTATGGTCTCTGGAGAATCAATGTGGCATCCAAGTTTCAAATCTCATAACCTGCCTCGTGCATGAGCTTAACCTGACGGTATCATCACACAAATGGACGAGGTTAAATTGCTAATCTTTACAAACTGAAAGCGAGGAGGTGGAATACACTGACTATACTATCAGAAGCTGCAAAGCTGAGTGCTCGAATACACATGACACAGGTAATTATGGATAATGAATGAAATATCTGCTTTAAGCAGATTATGGGCAACTATGAAGATTTTCATCATAAACCCAGGACTTGTACATTAAGCTTAAAGTTGCAATTCGACTAAGTAACCAAAAACTACCACCACTGACTAGTGCCATTTCTACAACATTATAAAGCCCTCCGCGGGGCAAGACAACAGACTTTTAAGATCATCATCTAGCAAGTCCCCGTGTTCTTAATTCTTACTATCTCTATGTTAAAAATATCTTAAGTTCCAGTACACTCAATAAGGAGAAGACGTACTTAACAAACTCAAAGGTCAGCAGTTACATATTGGCACAACAAGGAAAAAAACACAGAGCCTCTTTATGTCCTCATACAAGGATACTTGGAAAGGATACCAACTGAGAAGAGCAAGACCACACTATGCCAAGTATAAGTTTGACCCTCTAAAACACTCTTACTTGCAGTAGAGGAGAGAATTTTATTAGGTAAACTACCTTGATCATCTTGACCTCTGATTCATGCCTCTGAAATGACCTAAGTACATAGTCTTAGTATTCAGGTCAACCACCTCAAAGAGCCCAAAATATATTCCGATCTCATCTAAGGCTCTATTTGTTCCGCAAAAACTGTGACATTTCTGGAAAATGTTTTCTAGAAAGCCATTTTCTAGGAAAATAATAATATTTTCCGGTGTTTGGCTGAAATTTGAAAATGAACTAGAAAATATTTTTCGCCGTTTGATATAAAAAATTTGATTTGATTATTTGAGAAAAATCACCGAAAAAATTCAAATTTTTAAATTTAAATTTTTTTTCTTTTTCCTTTTTCTTTTTCCTAGGCTGACAACCTGCCACAGGCGAAGGACGAGCTCGGCCAAGGCCGGCAAGCCGAGCCTCACCAGGTCTGATGAAATCGAGCTCACACAAGGCTGGCGAGCTCAAGGCCTCGCGACTCTTAAAGAGGTTGAGCTCGCCACGACTTGCCGCGACTCGCCGATCTGGCGAGACTCGAGCACGCCGACCTTTAGCGAGCTCGTCCCACACTTGTGGCTGTCGCCATGGCCGACCACCAGTCGAGGAAGAAGGAAAAAGAAAAAGTAAAAAAGAAAAGAAAAGGGAAAAATAATTAAAATTTTGATTTTGTTAAAATAATATTTTTATAAGAACAAGTAATTCATTAACTAAAGACTCGAGCCCGAGCACCTCGAGCCCGAGTGCCGAGGATCCATGCTCGGCCTTTGTAAACAAGCGCCTAAGTGTCGGGGACCAGAGCTTGAGCATCAATGACCCAAGCACGACATTTATGGACCCGGGCTCAGGCGCCAGGATTTCAGGCACGGACACCAGGGCTTTGGGCCCAATCTTGATGGACCCAGGCGTGGTTGCCGGGGCACCAGGATCCCAGGCTAGGCCTTGATGGACCCAGACCCAGGCCTAGGCGCCGGAGACCTAATCCTAAACGTCGAGAACCTCCCAACCTTGATGGACCTAGGCGTGGTTGTCGAGGCACTGGGATCCCAGGCCTTGGCGCCAGAGACCTAATCCTGAATGTCAAGGACCCGAGAACCAACGTTGGGGTTTTCGTGCTGGGGTTTCGGGTCCAAGCGTTGATACTAGTAATATTTTGGAAAATGTTTTCTGGTTTTTCAAGAAGGAAATCATTTTCCTGAATTTAAGTATAGGTTTTTCTTTGACTTATTTTCCTAAGCGAGCCAAATCCCGGAAAATGAAGAAAATATTTTTCCGAAAAATGTTTTCCATGAAACAAACGGAGCCTAAGTATATGATCATAAATCTACCTAGGCTTCATTACTTGATACACAACACATGACACTCAAGCAGCAGATAATATATCTTAATTAGCATTTAGGTTAACCACCACGAATAGCAATTTAGGCTTTTGCTACGCTCCCAACAAATGGTATCAAAACCAGTGATTGATTGATGGCCCACTCTCGATATGTATCAGTGTATGATATGTATATCAATAAAGGAATCTTGTGACCAACACGATTTTCGAGCAGCGATGATATTTGTGGTGTAGCAATACGGTTCCGGTGATAGCCTGAGCTAGAAAAAGAGATAAGGTAGTGCAGAAGGGCTAGAAAAATTCCCACGTTAGGAAATTGATGTGACGTGGACTTCTCGATATATCTTAATTAGCCCATAATTTATACCTCTTGTCGAAGCTCCAACAATTTTATGGCTATCTTTATGACACATTATAACGAAAAGGTTGAACTAGTCAACTGCATGGGCCGAGTCAGTTGCAAACAGTCGAGACTCACAGCTTCAAAAGTTCCCAAGTCGTGAGGGACGACTCGACTGAGTCACTTGCGAACACTACTTCAAAAGTCCCTCTCTCTCTCTCTCTCTCTCTCTCTCTCATTTGAAAGTCGCGAGCCGTTGTTTTTGATCGTCTCGGCTCGTTCATTTTCTGAGAAACCGTGTGGCACTTTCCGTCAACTCTTATATTATGTTGAATGATTTTCGTCTCCCGAATCTACTGGTTCATGAACTTACCCTTTTGTTCACACATCGTGTCCTCCAAGAAACTTCCCAACTCACGCACTCTCATGCTCGCCCCTATAAATAAAGCAACCTTTTCGTCTACGATACGTGCACGCACTCAGTTTTAACTTGCTCCGAGTGTCGTTCGAGTGTTTTTAGCTTCCAAGTTTAAAAGACAGAGCAAACACAATCTCAGTACTTCAAATCCGAGAGAAATGAAGGTGAGATTTCTTTTTTGTCCTTCAACAAGTCTTCTTTTCTGCATGTGTGTACTTATGCCTGGGAGTTGGGGTTCTTAATGATATTTTCTCCTGGGTTTTCTTGGACATTTTTCTTGGTAACTCTCTGCCTCAAGCTTCATGAGTTATCTTTTGTTTTCTTTGCTGTTGTAATTGTGAATCGTTTTTCATAAGTGGATCTGTTCATGTGAATAATAATGCTAGGAAGACCAAATGATGCGTCGAATTCTTATTCATTGTTGATTATATATGGCCAACTTGTTTAAACGCTAGTCTACCCCACCACTTGTGGATGTAGAGTTCAGTTGTCGTAAGAGATTGATATTTACTCAAAATCTAACTGGGTTTTGATTTTCTCAAACTTTTGCAGAAGTTGGTGGTGAAATTGGATCTACATGATGACAGAGACAAGAGCAAGGCCATGCAAGTGGTTTCTGGTTTTGGAGGTATTGGCTCTCTCCTCTGTTTTTCCCTCATTCTCCCCTGAATGTTCAAATCGTTACTGTAATAGTAATCATCTTGTGCTTGAAATGTTCGGCTTTATCTCTAACCTTTGTCACATATGCTTTCCAGGGATTGGGTCTCTGAGTATGGACACGAAGGACAACAAACTAACAGTAACCGGCGATTTCGACCCGATCAAGGTGGTGAACAAACTGAGGAAATCTTGGCACGCAGATGTTGTAAGTGTTGGACCAGCCAAGGAAGACGACAGCAAGAAAGACGAGGGCAAGAAAGTTGAGGGCAAGAAGGACGAAGATCAAGTCGCCAATCTCATAAAAGCCTATCAAGCATACCATTCTACGCCGCATACATATTACTATGTGCCCCGTGAAGAAACCCCGAATTGTGTCATATGTTAAAATACTTTGTGCTTCCAGACCAAATCAGGACTTGGTTTGTGCACTGGAGAGGATTGAATAAGGAAGGTTGATTACGCCTTATGAACATAAGAACAAGTGGAGTACCCTCCTTAGAATATTAGCTTTTTAGTGTGTCTTTCGGTTTTTGTACGTGCATAGGGTCCAAATGTTAAAAAAGATTGGTTTTCAGTTGAGGAACTCAAGGTATGGAAGAGCCATGATGTACTCCAATTCAACTCAAGGATTGTTGCCAGCGAATGGAAAATCCAATGGGTGTTTTAAATTTTTTTGCTCAATTTATTAATCGATCAGCAAAGAAAATCAAAGTTATTCATTGCAATTGCAATGTGATCCAATGTCCATAGGCCGTAGCAGCAATTGCAGTTAGCTATTGAACATACCTAGTATTCCTTTAAAAGCTTCTTGTCATAATTTAGCCTCACAATCTTGTAGATGGTATTCAGTTGAATAATAGGATTCTCAAAAAAGAGTAAGTTCATATACTAAATTTGATCCATGCTTTTGTCATGTTGAATCAGTAATTGCTTTGACGTTTGGTAAATTCTAGTGGCTGGTCAGGTCAAGTGACTTCAGGCTAGCTGCAAACAAGCAAGATATACTCACTAAAATTTCATGAAAACTTCTTAACTAATCCAAGAGAAGATAGCAGTGCCTTTCTAGGTCAACTTCATGTCATTTGCTTAAGTTTGATTGTTGTGCACGAACCACAGATGGGACATATAACTAACCAGGTGCCGTTCTTATCTAATTTACTGAATAATGAAACTTCCATTTCATTTCGTTGTTTGGAAGTATTTGACGGCATCGCTATAACTTTCATCTTTGACTGCATATATTCCCCTATAAGTAGAAGAAAAATAGGGAACCAAAGATGAATCACGGGATGCTCTTTTGTTCATCTTTTCAGACATTGTGTATACTTGCATATGCCATCCTGGTTAACAAACTTATAATGGTGGATCATCCTCACTCAATCTTCTCCAAACTAGCAGCAATGGATGTCATTAATGAGAGTCGTACCTGCCAAGATATTGGAAAGAGGCAGAGAAGTATACGTATTGCGTATTGCGTCCACGATAATCAAAAGCCTTAGGCTTAATGGTGGATCTTCCAAGTCTTTCTTTCTAGCAATCTTCACCCGGTTCATAACTAAGCAGCCAGTAAGACCATAATCTTATCTACCAGGCAACTGTGATGAATTTTGGTGGATGCACATATACTTCTTTGGTTGATGATCTAGATCCTAGTTACATATTCGTTCATGAAGAGGGTGCGTGAAAGAATGGCTACAAGCTCACTATGACAGGGATGGTCAGCAAATCGTGTACGTAACTGGTTCAACACAATATGCTGAATCCACAAGACTTGCTATCCATCAGTTACAACATTTGGACATGAGCTGCAGATATGATGAGACGTGTATTGCTTACTATCAGTGAACCGCACATGTTCAGGAAAGATTGGACTTTATTGCTCACTTGGGGAAAGTGTAATTAACATTCTATTCTCTCAGACTCCACTTACCCTTTGATGCTACATAAATGAAGAGCTGCAGATGCTTAATGGCATGTGATATCCGCATACCCTTCACTTCCGCATAAGGAGAACCACAGTATGAGCTGCTATACTCCGGTTTTCTCCAAGGCTATCGACCTTCTCGTGAGTTTTTGCTTTAAGGTTAACAACGGTCGGATCTGCTCCAAGCAACTCACATAGGTTTTTCCTGATAGCTTCCTTGTGTGGGCTGACTTTTGGTCTCTGGAGAATCAAGGTGGCATCCAAGTTTCCAATCTCATAACCTACCTCATGCATGAGCCGAACCTGAAGGTACCATCACACAAATCAACAAGGTTAAATTGCTTATATTTACAGACTGAAAGCAAGGATATAGAGTACACTGGCTATATAATAGCTGCAGAGATGAGCCTTCAAGTACCAATGAATAAAACATCCAGTTGACTATGAGTAATGAATGAAACATTCACTTCAAGCAGATTACTATGATAATTTTCATCTTCAACCCATGACTTGTGCAGTACACTTAAAGCTGCATGCACTAAATACCCAAAAACTGCCATCACTGACTAGTGCCGTTCCTGCAACATTATAAAGCCCTCCACAGGGCAAACTACAAACTTCTAAGATCATCATCTAGAAAGTCTCTGTTTCCTTAATTCTTATCCCTACAATAAAAATGTCTTGAGAGCCCCCGTACGCTTGATAAGGAGAAGACGTATTTAACAAACTCAAAGGTCAGCAATTACATATAGGCGCAACAACGAAACAGCACAGAGCCCCTTTATGTCCTCATACAAGGATTCTGGGAATAATTCCAACTAAGAAAAGCAAGATCATCCTACGCGAAGAATAAGTTTGACCTTCTAAAACACTCCTACTTGCAGTAAAGGAGAGGATTTTGCTAGTGGAACTATCTTGACTATCTTGACCTCTGATTCATGCCTCTAATATTACCTAAGTACATAATCTTAATTAGAATTCAGGTCAACCCCCCATCAAAGAGCCCAACAAAATTCAGACCTCATCTCAAGTGCATCATCATAAATCTTCCTCAGCTTCACTCATTCATACACAACACATAACACTGAGGCAGCAGTTGGTATATCTTATCCTCAAGCAAACAGCGGGATAAAATTAACCACGGCCAATCAAGATGGCAAGGGGAGGAATTTGCAAACAAGAAACCCCAGTGAAATGCTCAGTAGATGAATTACACAGTGTCAACTGCCATTATCTTGTCAGATCACCTTCCAGTGAGAACCATGCTTATGCACTGAAACATCCGACGTTCGGAATTATTATCAGCAAATAAAGCAACCCCCGTTACACAAGAGTTGGGAAAAAGAAGGGTCAGTCGGGTCAACTCACAGCTTCCTTGATGAAAACAGATGAAGGTGCACCCTTCCACTTGGGATCAGAATCAGGGAATATCTGCCCTATATCCGGAAGCCCCAGAGCTCCCAAAATCGCATCCACCACACAATGAAGCAACACATCCCCTGCAACCACAAAGAAAGCCCCAGTGAAACAACGGTTAACAGCAATCACTCAAACACCCACGAATCTAATTTCACTCCAAAGAACAACAACAGCAACCGCAAAGAACACCCTCAAAGGAACAACCCAATGAAACAACAACCAAGGTAATCAGTCAAACACCCATTAACAGAAAAGTATTTCACTCGAGACAAGAACGAAATGATTACCATCAGAGTGAGCCTCGCAGCCTCTGTCGTGAGGTATATCGATGCCACCGATGATCAAAGGGTACCCAGGCTCCAGCCTGTGGAGATCGAAGCCGTGGCCCACCCTGAACGGCAACGTCTTGGGAGGCGCGGCGGCCACCGGCGGGGCTCCACCCACGGCCGTGCTCACGACCGCGACCACCACCGGCGGCAAGACCGTCGCCTTGAGGGCGGGAGCCGAAGCGGGTCGTGCCAAGAAAAAACCCGGGTTCTTATTAGAAAAGTTAAAGGAGAGCGGCTTCCGGTTGCGGGCAGTGACGATTCCCGCGGGAAGTGAAGCGGCGTGGAGGTGGAGGTGAGCGGCCATGGAAGGTGACGAAGAAGAACAAGGCAATTGGGGGTTGTCTGTGGTGGTTGAGCTTTGAGTTTGGTCTCGCTGCTGTTGTGGCTCAGGTCGGTACCGAAGTGTCTGGTAATGGAGGAGAGGGAGACGAGAAGCACGCTTTGAATGTGCGCCACTATTTAACCCCCCCATGAATCTTTCGTGCTAGATGCTCAGGGCGGATTTTGTCTTTTGCTCCATGTGAAGATGCTATAACATGCTAAACACGGTTACCCCCAATTTCACGAAATCAGGAGAGAGAAAAAATTAAAATTTATCGGTTTTGGTTCACTAACCACCAAGCCTCATTTGTGGTCGTATTGCTTTACTAGGTTAGGATTGAAAATGATTTGGCGGATTCAATCGAGATGAACAATCTTTGGCTAAAGAGCGGGAAAAATACTGTGTACGAGGATAAAATCATATTAGAATTTAGTTTTGAGGAGGAGCTATATGAGTTACATAGACCATTTAACCTGATGAGATACAAAAGATTTAAAGGTTCATATGAATTCTAATGGATTCCAAATGATTTATACTTTTTTGGGTGATTGAAAATAATCGGTTGCTCTTGACGAAGAAATTTACAGTCTCTAAAATTGCAGATGAGAGGTCACTATGCACTCCTTCCTAACCTCATTTACAAGTTAGACCCTATATCTGAGAAATTTAAGCATGGTGCACACAAAGACAACGGGCTGCTGAAAAGTGAATCCTACTCTCGCAGACCTCTATGATTAGGCAAAGTCATTGTGAATGGTTAAGAAGATAATAGGCTCATGGGAAGGTTAAGAGAAGAGAGATTCTGCCCTACAGAGATTTGAGGTTGCTCTTTTCATACAACTTACTCGAGGATAGACGGAGGACCATTCATACTAGCATTAGTTCAGAGAGGTTATTTCGATTACATTATGGTGGAGAAACTGGAGCACCGTCTATACCTCCCCACTTTTGAATAGAAACTCAACTTCGGTCGAAATCGCGTCTTTACTTGCTATCGTCTTTGGGTTTTTTGGTGAGTAAATAACACTGCGCAATTTCTAGAGCCTTTGCACCCCGCTATACTCGTCATGCACTATACTGTTCAAGTCATGATTGTTTAATCAAATGTAATCGACCTGCACAATCTTCTTGGCAATGTACTTCCCCAAATAATCATATCCGTGGAAGTACAGAGCTTCGATCTCGGCTCTCTGACCTGTCTCAGTCATCAATGCCAATTCCCCCTGGTAATTTTCCTGCAGCATGCCATTAAATTAAGCAAAGCAGTTCCAATGGCTTACCTCGTGTCGTGTATCATCTAAGGCACCATTGCAGTGACATGGAATTTACCTGCAAGAGCTTTGAGGACATCAAGCTTTTTGCTATTCCTATATCTTTTGGCTTGAAGGGAATAAAAGATTCTTCCGGTATCAGTTCCAGATCACTCCCTCGCAATCCCAACCACTTCACATTGCAAGCTGATAGTGCCATATCAAAAAAGAGAGAGAGGAGGTAGTAAGAACTGCATTCTACTTAAAAGGATACAGATGTGCTCATAAACATGCATTTCCAAATGAAACTTTCATGAGTGCACCATATCGAAAAGCTTCAAGACCCATTCCAATGCTCCCAAATTTAAAAGTGCACAGTATTGCCAATCCAGCTGGATTCCTTGCATAGTCAGAATGCAGAAATTTAAAAGGGGTATATTAACCCCAGAATATACATCACATCACGCAGTAAAAAGGAGAAAAGATTTCCCTTACCAGTCTACCAATGCCAGAATTGGTAAATTTGGAAAATTCTGGCTCATTCGGTGGAGAAAAAACCTGTATCACTTAGTAAAGCAGAGTATTGTCATAACTCGAGCAGCACGGTCCTTTCTAGATTTCAGCTTAGTTCTACTAGTTGCTTCAGATATATATATATATATATTTTGGTCAAGTAGTTGCTTCAGATTGGCTTGCTAAAGAGTGAAAGACCTGCTTAATGTGCTACCTCGTTGCAATATCTGGATAACCTTTGGCTGTGATTAGTATGCTTGGGATCTGATTGAACACATGATCGTCTACCAGTCGCTGGAATATTGCATGCTAAGCCAAGAAGATAACCTCAAAGGATGTCATAAATTTGTGAAGGGGGAATCTATCAGGTATCGATTTATGAATTGATCAACCAATTACCTTCTCTACGAGGATTATATAGCGTGCATCAGTCTTCATAATCAACTTCTCCAGCAAATTCAAGTCACCGGATATAGGATACCCGGAAGAGCCACATGAACAGCAATCAACAGTCTCCTTGTTTGGCTCCTAGCGCATGTCTCAACGTAAGCAGACAAAGAAGGCAATAGAAATATCTATCCCCATCAAAATGCAATGGAGGTAGACTAGAGCACATCCACATACAAAAGACAGTTTTCTTGTCTCCTATGACTGCAACAACTAAATGGGTTTAACACAAGGAGAAAAAGCCCTCCCAAGGAAACCATAGACATTCAAGCCATTCCTTTTCTAAAGCGACATCAACTTAAGCAAGTGTTCTCGTCATCTGACCACTCAGGGAACTTTAAGCTTAGGTGCAGCGACATTTCAAATCGATGAGAATATTATACATTAGCATTAACGGTCTCCTCTGATTGCAATTAAGAATCTCTTCCATGGCTTGCGATGAAGCTATGGTCTACCAATCATCCAATTCAACTTTTATACACAAGAGTAAACACAGTATTGCTAATAAGCTATTTGGGATATCACTGAATCACAAAATAAATGCAGGGGAATCTGAAATGTCTTGAGAGCAGGTACCTGCAGCAACAGTCTTCCAGCTACAAGTCCTCTGCTAGAGGCCATGATTCCGAGACTGTATCGGCTACACCGAAGCAATGCTACGATATCTGCTCATTTACAACCCGTACTCATCAAATGCAATCAATGGCGCCATTAACTTACGATTTGGACATCAATGCTGACCTTGGATTGCCTTATTAACTTGCAATTGGGAAGTGAAGTACTCCGATGATGTACAAAGCAATTTGTAGTAAAGCTCCCTCTGAGTGAGTCTCTTCTCTTGAAGCAAAATCTGATAACACATCTCCATGACCTTCCAGACTGCAAAACATTCAAACCCCGTGTTAATTATGTCAAACGCTTTTACGCTTGCCTCTTTGTAAAAGAAGCTAGGTGATCTTGATCTACCTCTAATGAAGGCTTTTGTGGCATTAGCTCTCATCAAAGACCTTGTGCAGCACGAGTGTGACAGAAAAATCCATGAAACATCGGTAAGTAGCCCATGATTCACTCCGCTATTACTCGACGTCCTATTAATCTGCACATCCATGGACACAATTCTTGAACTTGAACAGAGAGACGAGTGTCGGCAATTCAACCTTCACATCCTCATCGGTCGCATGTCAGAGGCAGAAAATAAAAAAAAAGAATCGACAAAAGAAAAAAAAGAAGCTCCGGCAGATAACTATCGAGATTCCGACCCCAGCTTCAGGCACGTAAATCTCCACCGTACTCGCTTGCTACTAACACGCATTCCACAACTTGAAAAACTTTCTACTGCATCAGAACGATCTCTTATTTCAATCTGGAAACGGCAACATCTCTCCGGAACGGAGAAAACACAGTGAATCAGCGGTCATGCGTCTCGATCTCGAGCTCGATGAAGCATATTTCAAGCTCTCTCGCATCAGCCCGAGCTCTCGCGATCAGATCAGAAGCAGAAACGTTCTCGACACCGCAGCAGAAAAGTTGCTACATCTCCGTTCTAACCTCAAAACGGACGTGCGAATCTCTCTACCTCGCTCGCTCAGCCGAACTTAAGAACTCGATCGAATGGGAGGAAAAGACGCCGGAAACTACCAGGGGAAGATGCGAGATCGCAGGGTCGCGGGAAGTCAGGGTCCGGAGGAAACCGAGCACGGCGACTTCGATCCTGGCGCGAGCTTCGGCCGGAGGGAGGACGTCGGCGCGGCACTGCCGCTGATCGGAGAAGAACGTCAGCGAGGATTCGCAGAGGCCGTCCATTTCCGCTCTTCCCTTGTCTGTTGCTGCTACTCCTACTCTCGCCGTCGTATCGCGGAGCGTGGGGAAATTTGGGGGAGACGAAAGTGGCGGAAATTGGCGCGATTCGCGCTCAGCCTTTAAATAGGAGAGAAATTTTTTAATGGGATAGGCGTGGCACGTGGGTGGCACGTGGAAAAAGAAGCGGCTCCTGTTTTTTACTCTCATTGGGAAATTGACTTTCACTTTCAGGACACGTGTCCGTGAACGGTGTGAATCATGTGATAGACGATTCTACCACGTCTAAACCTATTAAACTGGTGAGTCAGGATGAATCGAAAATATTTCGAACCAAATAGATTCATTTAACTTGTTTTGACCCATTTTCATGTAATGCAGTACACAAAAGTCTTAAACTTATTGCATTTTTGTCAATTCAGTCATAAACATTCTGATTATAGCAATTGAGTCATAAATAATTTCACGTTTTGCAAATTAAGTCCATTCGGCCAATTTTGATAGAAAATCGTTAACATAGATATCGACTATCTTACGTGACATGGCCGACATTGATGTAGATAATTTTAAATAATATTTTTTATATTTTTTGAATATTTTTAGTAATTTCTTTTCTTCTTTTTTCCTTCTTTACTTTTTTTCTCCTTTTCTTTTTTTTCCCCTTTTTCCCTTCGCCAACCATTACAGGGCCTCATCATTGGCCGACAACCTCCCTAGCCTTAGGTAAGGGCACTAGCAAGGGCACCTGCTCTGACGAGGGCAACCCTTCATCAGATTGGGTGAGGGTTTGCCCTTGCCTAAGGCCAATGAAGGGAAAATGGGAAGGAGAAAAATAAAAAAAATAAAAAAAGGAAAAAAGGAAACAAGAAGAAAAGGAAAAAAATAATTAAAATATTAAAAATATTATTAAAATTATTCACATCAACACTAATGGTGAGACGTAAGATGGTTGACGTTTATGTTAGTGATTTCCGGTCAAAATTGGCCAAATGAACTCAGTAGGTAAAATGTGAAGATTTAGGACTTAATTGGCACAATTAAAATTTTGATAAATGAATTGACAAAAATGCAATAGATTTAGGATTTTTTGGATAATTTTCTCCATACCCAACGACCTGACCCATATTCCTAAAACACTTCCATATTTAACTAAATCTATGAAAACCCATATCCAAAGGTAAGAATGCGAAGTGAATGAGAGTGGAATCATCGAGAGTAAAGATGAGAGAAAACAAAAGGAGAATTAAATAGTTAAATCTAAGTAAATTGTAAACTAATTAATGACACATTTAATATTCATATTATGTTTAAACTCATTTATAACTCATTTATTAAAATATAACTATTCCATATAAAAACTCAACTCAAATAGATATATAACTCATTTTAACAAGTCTAATTGCATCTAACCGGGTGTGACTGAGGAGAAAATATCAGATGGGTTTGATGTGCCGCGTGTTCAAATTAGGCCCACTTTTCAGATTCTTTTCTGCCCTCCGTTACCCCTCTCTCTCTCTCTCTCCCCGCTCCGTTGCCCTCTCTATCTTTATTTTTTTCCTGTGATAATTAATTTTTACAAATGTACCGTACAACAAACGTGCAAAACCAAGAAGAAACTGTCTGAAAACACATTAAAATGTTGTCGATAGCAAGAAAGATGAAATTAACTATAGATAAAACTGCGCACACATCTACAGTGCTAACTGATTACATCGATCATAACACCGAGTAAAACGCCAACAGCAGATGAACCCCAGTGCCTATGGTGTGAAAACGCTGCGCAAAACTACCAGCCACCATTAACTCCAAAATCGGGTGGTCATCGCGGTACGATGATCTTAGCTTGGTCACTGGGTACCCCGGGGATAACCTAGATGACTTCTGCTATTGATTATAGGATTAGGAACCCGAAGGTGAGGTGGAACCGTAGGTGAGGCTGAACCCACAGCAGATGGGGATGGAGTAGCCTGAGCCTGTTGGGTTGGCCGGATCACAGTAAGATTATTATCCAAGTGTGACCGTCCAGTAATGCTTCCGCGCATTGGACGTGTAGGACGCCAATTTTGCTCCACTGACAACTCCCCAGTACCATCGCCACCTGAGGGAGAGGGTACCCCAGTGTTAGCTCTTTGGTCACCTGCCGATGCCCTGAAACTATCAGGTAGAGAAGTCCCTATTCTGGAAGGTTGACTCTGCAACTGCACCGGAGTTTGCACTGGCATGGCCGGTTGTTGAGCAGAAGGCCACAATCTTGATGAACCAGGTGTTTGACTGACTGGAGCAGATCGAGGAAGAAGTGGTCTACCCATGCTTGGAGAATGGGTAGTGGATGGTGAAGTTGTCGGGTTCAGAGCTTGCTGTAAGTGCTGGTTTTGGAATGCCTGGAATAGTCCAGATATTCTAGGACGACCTTGGAATTGACCAGGAGACGGGCGCATCATAGGCATTGGGACTGATTGTCCCGTGGAGAATGATCGATCCTGATAATTAAGTTTGAGTGAAATGTATCAGACAAGCAAAGGTAACCCATCCGTTCTTGTTTTTTTTAAACGTATTAATGATAATAATTGGCCAGAGTCTTCCCAATCTAGGAACAAGCAACACAAGGGAAAAACAAACCTGCATTGGTGAGCTCCGGAGCAATGCTGATGGAGGGATGTTCGAGACTTGAAGGGGATTTGCAGGAGGTCTAGAAATTTGCTGCTGCCTCTCCACGTGCATTCCTACACTTCCAAAACCTTCTAGAGGCTGAGTCGTAGACATTGTAGGCTGTGGAGCCATGGAAGGACCACTGGCAATCATAGGATTCATCATACTCCGTGATCGCTGCAATGTGCTTGGTGTCTGGGTGCGGGCTGGGAGGGCCTGTATTCCTACGGGAGTTCTAGGTACATGTCTAGGTATGGAGGGCGTATTCCCATATTCATGTCCAACAGCTGTATTAACAACTGGTGACTGTTGCATTTGTAGATTATTGGGAACAGACAAATGAGCTTGCATCATGGAGTCTATGAAATTTCCAAGAAATTGAGCATCTTGAGCTGGTGTTGAAGAGACGGCACCAGCCAATGGCGAAGTGACAATCGCAGAGATTGCCTGAGGTAGACCCCCATGTATTTGCATCTCCTGCCCAGCATTTGATGTTGAAGGAGTTTGAACAAATCCAGGCAAGTTATTTCCCCCTGGAGCAAGTTGGGTTACAGTGCTTCCGTTGTTTAATGTAGATGGCAAAGATGGATTTGTGGGAATGCTCCGAATCAAAAAATCAGATTGCAAAGGTTTCCTCTCTTCAGGTTCAGAAGTAAAGACTCCATCCATTTCATCATCATCCCCTGTTAGATCCAAAACACTGGGAATGGCATTTAAAGAAACAGTAGATTTTCGCTGCTTGGACCCTTGTTTAAGGCAGTTCATGGTATCATTGGGAGTCTCATATAGATCATCATTGCACTCCATAACTGCCTTCCATGAACCGTCAACAGTGATTGTTACCTCAGAAATGTCATCGCCCACTTCTTGCAGGACCTGTCAGACAGAAAATACTGAAAATAAGAACTTCATGATTGACAGCGCACAAAGATGCACCTTATTGCTTCAAAAATAGCATATGGAAGATGACCACAAGTACCAACTTACCTTCACAATGTTTTGATCAACACGGATGTCGGTAAAGCAGACAGGTCGATTGCAATGAGGGCAGCGCCAAGATGGTTTGCTTGAATTTATGCTGAGGAAATTACTATAATCGAAACACTACAAAAAGGCACATGTCACAAATTACTGAAGTATCTGGGAAAGAGGCCAAAGTAATTCCAAGATCAACATGAACTTTCAGACTTCATCAGAACTACCATATCAAGAAATTGTCATATAACTTTAACAGTTTCAGGTCATGAACAACAACAGAAAGGTTTTTCGTAACAACCAGTAACTTGTAATCAAGCAATGAGATGACAAAAAGCTTTATAGTTGTACCATAAATGTACTAGGGCTTTGGCAAGCAAAAATCAACATTTAAACCTTCAAAGAGCTTATGATGTTAGAAATACACCAAAAAATATGAGGCACATATACACACCCAATCATACTTCTCCAAAGTTCCAGAAAAATTGATATAAGTGTAAATTTCCAATAAGCTATGCTTTACATTACAATCGTCAAATGGTGCAACGACCACTCACCTGATGGTGTTTGCAGGAATGTCCTTTAACAGGTACTTGGATACGGGTCCGGCTGTTTAATATGGAAAGGATACGGCATTATCAAATATAGAAATGCTTCAAAAGAATCAACACAGGAAGCTTTAAGACGAACAATGTCGGCATATAAATCAAACCACATTTCAAAGGAGAAGGAAGAAAAAATCAGCATAGGCAGCAAAAACCTAAATTTCACAGAATCAACCAAATGAACTATCATACAGTTTAGTAATCGTGGAACAGACAAGTACTTAGCGATCCACAAGTAACTCTCACAGTAGGTAATATAGAATCAATATCTAATAAGCAGGAAGAATTCTACATTAACTTTCTAAACATAATAATCAGTAGTCTTCAGAGGCATGTCTTTCTCCTAAGTTCACTTTCCCACGAACAGCCCAGATCATATCAATCAAATGAGTAATTTTTATCTCACGCTATAACTAAGGAAGCAACAACTAATGACCTGTGGCACCGACATCTACAAAGCATCTAAGGAAAGGATATTTCCCCTTCCAAATAAAATTGTCAAAGAATCGTGGTTCTACACCTTTTATTTTCATACAAATCATCCTCAAAGTCCAACACTTAGTTCAAATTAAACACAAGGTGACTCATCCTTTCAGAATTCTAATTCTTAACCAAACTATCCCATGTTTCTCTATGTACTTCAAATTAAGTGCATGACTAGCCCAAGCATAGACCAAGCAAAGGTAACTAAAAAAGAACTAAAAATAACATAGTAACAATGTTGACAATAGAGCATGCATACCTTATGGGACAATTGAGACATATACGAGATGCCACCTCTATTATATCGGAGTCTGAAATATGGAGACAAAATCAAAAAAATCACCATTCTCTTAGGCAGTGGAACATCTTGTTCTCATCAAATGAGAAAATACAGCAACTGCAAAGTAAATTGCATCAACCAAACTTTTCTCATGAACAACACACCTGAATCTGCTGCAGCAATGGTTGCTGGAATATAATCTGATATTGTTGATGAATCAGGTGGCGATGCCACACTCATAAAGGCAATGATTATCACATAATGACCTTTTCAAAAATTAAAAATGTCACTTAGTGAGGCTTTCTTTCAGAAAATAAACAAAAAGGGGAAGGACGAAAATATTTACTCAAGCATACCATTGAACTGGCCAACAGCTTGCAGAAGGTTTGTGCCATACTTAAGCATTTGAGTGACATATGTAGGCATCTGAGGTCCAGTATCCTAACAGCATCCAAGGGAATAAAATATAACATTTCCAGTTTAAAGGAAAAGAGAAACCAAAGAATTCTTTATCTGAATTTTACAGCCTCAATAATACATTGATAGACACGAACCACAAAAGCATTAGTCCTTCTCTCTACTCCCTTTCCATTTAGTAGAAAGCTACAAAATCAAGCAAAGAAGATCAGGACATTAAAATAACTCCAAACAAATCGCGTTTAGGAAGTTAACTGAATCAGGAAAAGTCACACCTTACTTGTGGAGGAGTTATAATACATGCAGATGTCTCTATGTTATCTGTCTGAGCTACAAAGAACCTCTGCAAGAAAGACAGTTTGGCAGCAAAAATTCTGTCATTCCTATCCCAAGATCTCTGTTTTAAAGACTTAATGTCGAGTTTCAAATATACAGAAGGAAGAGAAAGTTCCTTACCAAAAAAAAAAAAGGAAGAGAAAGCAGGTCGTATTATTTAAACATTACAAGCCCACAGCACAAAGATCATCCACACGGGTGGAAACACATATATAGGCAATTATGGATGTATACATCAAAACCAAATGAAAAATTTAAATCTGTCAATAAATTATACATGCACATGGAAGGAAGCAGATGAAAAGATCTTTATACCATTGGAGTTCCAATGACTCTGGATAGAGTCCAAATATCTGAATCATAAACAATTGCTATGTCAAGATAAGAAAAGGAAATGAAAAGATCAGGACTACCCGTGGATGAAGACTATAAATCTCATAGCTTCTAGCAAAAAGAAGAGTAAAAATCTCATTGGCTCAAATAATGGAAAAGACGTCGACATCAAATAGTCAGACACCAAAAAGAAAATTCCTATCAGGACAAAGTAAAAACTTGAATCCTAACCTTACCTCTACATTCTTTTTCCTATTTTATTCTCTCATTTCAGTCTTTCTGAACAGAAAAATATTTGCTCGCTCCCATTTTCTAAGAAAAGTTTCAAATAGAATCATCAGAAACATCTTTTCCCCCTTCGTGAAGAGTTAAGATTCCTGCATGCAACAGATAATCATGATATTTCTTATATTTAGACACTCCAGTGCAGCAACCAATGCTCAGTCATTCATCTCGCTTTTAGCAAATAACTCATGCCAGCATGTTTAAGTTGCTCCTCAATGCGTAGCAAAAATCATTGTCATGTTGTCTGAATATGCTATGTTAAGTTTACATAACTATAATGGTAGATTCAGAGGTCACTTACTATTTTCTCTTCTGGAGAGTGCACCACGGTCTTAGATATGTGAAAATCACTGACCAATGCTCCATATCCAGGCTGCAAACCAACCCGAAAAGCAAATTTATACTGATGGTGACCCTCAATAGTTATCATAGGAGAAAATGCTAAAAGTGCTACCTCTACTTCCAACGAAGTAAGAATTTGGCCCATTTTCAGCCGTGGATAGAATCTGTGACAATATAATAAAGAGAGAAAGATAAGGAAGCAATGCCTTGCATGAGCAGTGGTAAAGAAATTAAGATCAACCTAAATGTCTCAGTGGCGACTGATAGTTACAATAAATGTATAATTTATCCCAATCCTGACAAAGAACCTTTTTCAATAAATGTACAGTAGAAAAGCAAATGTATTCATACTGTTTCTTCAACTGAACATCTAATATATATAACTTGAGACATCATTCAGGTTTTGAAATAAAAATTGCACTTATTGCTGACTAACCATGAGAGACTTTACCTTGCCATAATAGTTGAAACTAGAGAAAAAGAGGCAGTACTTCCAACAGTAGTGTCTCTTGGACTTTGAAAGCTTTTCCCAATCTATATGCAATAGAAGCGGTTGCTAGCAAAATCAACAGCCCAGTAATACAATTATAACAGCAAGTGGTTTAAGAACAGAAAAAAGCCTACTTCATCAACAAGTGCAAGGAGCTCTTGACAATCCTCCTCTGAGAACCATTTAAATTTGCAAGCATTCTACAACGTTAGATAAATAGAAATAGACTCTAGTTAGATTAAGAAAATAACTCATGAATGCCACTTGTTTGGCTGCGAAACATAAATTTAAGGATACTCCGAGTCAAATCAAATTAAGTACCTTTACAGAGATCATCAGAACCATAATAATTGCAAGATAGAAACCATCATCTTTAAGAAGGCAGAGCTAGATAACACAGAAGAAGATAGGATTAGTCTTTGATAAGATGACATAGCATCAGACACTAACAGATAGTCACAGCCACAGAACTAAAAAGCAAACAGTTTAAAACTCAAAAGCCAAAAGCCAAAATCAAGAGAATGGTATTTGTGACTTCTTTCTCGGTTGGGCTTAAATTTTTTTCTTGTTTTCCTCCTAAAGAAGCCGTGGTTTACCATAAATGTAGTCAAAATGAACTACTTTCAACATTCTCATTCTTAAGAGGATATAATATTCCCGTAATACTGTTGCTAGTTCTATCCAACATTTTTAAGCAAATGAAAGCCAATATGCCACAAGTTAAAAAAGAAGCCATCCAAACAGGCTGCAGTATACTCATATCAAAGCCGCTAGAAAAATGAAATTTCCACAAAGAAAAGTAAGCTGCATATACGTCGACTTTAATGAGAAAACCATCTTAATAACCACAATCCATGGATGAAATATGATATAGGAGCCACAAATTGCTCTTCGGTAAACAGGCAAACAGCCAGCCCTGTTGTTGGGAAATGAAAGAGCATGAGGGTAATACTCTAAAAGGATGAGCACATAAAAATGTGAATGCAGACAGCTTAGTCAATCAAGAATGTCAACAGAAAATGTTCAAGTCATCCTCCCCTTATCAATTCCCCTTTAATGATCAATCTAGGTCTTTATAATGTCCACATACTATGTAGAATTATTGTTTCATACCAAAATTGGTCTTGTTGGTGGAGGCATGAATAATCATCAGCAGATCGCATGAACAGACATTTAATCATAAAAAATCAGGTATCAATTGATAAGACATTACATTAAGTACATTTCACAACATTGCACTTGAGAGAGATAGAGAGAGAGGGAGGGAGGGAGGGAGGGAGGGGGGGAGGGAGGGAAGGAGGGAGGGGAGCAGTATCCAAAATGGATAAAACTCTCTCTTGCATAGAGAAAATATTTCACTTATTGTTCGCTGACGAGCCTAAACAAGCCAATTACAATGTCCTGTGACAGGAATTCCAACCAGTTTAACATTTTAGAATCAGATCATCTAGTCTCTGATTTACTTGCTTCAACACATGTCATTGCCACGTGATAGTATCCGATATACAAAACACCTTCTCCTCTTGCATGAGGTGAACCCTTTTGATAGTTATGGTAATCTGGGACTTAAGTAAAAGCAATAGCACACATTTGCACTCCATCTCGAGAGGTTCTACAAATCTCATCCAGAGAAGAAAAATGTTTTGACTTTTGCTAGCGATACAATCTGCAACATGAGGGTGTAATCTTGCTGACAGAATGCGTAGCAACAAAACTAAGAATTGATGATCATGGCATGAATTCAACACAAATTGCACAAAGCATGATCAAGGACCTACAAAGACATGCAGTCAACTCCCTCAACCTATTCAATCATTGTCCTAACGCGATACTCTTGAATCGAAGACCTAAATAGACACGACCACAAAACAACACAAATTGCACAAAGCATGTGAAGGCAGGCGCGCGGGTGTGTGAGTGTGTGCAAAAGAACTAAGCTTAAGTTCCGCCTCACTAGCAGGTACATATTCAAAATGTTAATCAAGCCCATATACTTTAGCAAAAGCAACCTCTTCACATGCTATTTTGATGGAGCAATCAATCAATAGATATCGCTATCCGAAGCACAGCGAGCAAAGAAAGATTGCAAGAAGAAGGTGGAAAACGAAAGTCCTCGCAGCCACAGTTTGCGACCAAACTTACCCTTTTCAACAATGCGGGTAACTCGTGAGCTTTCGGCAGAACCTCGTTGTTCGCAACAGCATAGTCAATGCCTCTGATTCTCGAAAACAATGAAGCCAGTGAGTCAAAACGAAAATACCCAAAGACGAAGGGGGACGAAAAGGGGGAGGACGACAGAGGAATGTGTCAGAAACAAACAATCCACAAGACGTTGGTACTAACATCCACCACAACCACGACACCATTCTTTCTGACATTTATGAGAGATACGCTAAAAAGGGTCAGAACTACACATGATCGTTGCTGAACAGCCATCGATAAAGAAGTTTCAACAGAAAGCCCACAGCTCAAACAAATTCGGAAGCTCTAGATCCTACACGACAGACACAACTTTCAGGAGAGACACTCGCGATGTTCGACGCTAACAAAGGATTGCTAGAGCTGAATCCTCCACCCAGGCTTTCGCAGAAGAACCGCTTCGACACGCGAGGGACGTACCTGGCGAGGGAAAGGCACGAGTTCAGGAACTCCATGGCAGTATCGCGGGGCGACGACGAGCAAGAGCCCTTGTCGGCGCCGCTGCTGAGGTAGAGAGACAGCCGCTGGGCGACGGCGGCCACCCTGAACGCGTTGACGACGGAGGGGGAGAACCGGCTCGAGGCGGCGGGCGCGGCCTGCTGCTGCGGCGGCGGCGGCGGCGGCGGCGGCGAGGGCGGCGGCGGAAAGGGCGGCGACGGCGGGGGCGGGAGCTGCTGAGCGATCTGACTCGTCGCCGCTCCGATCATCACTCGAATTGCGAGCGCATGCGATTGTGAAGTGGAGAGCGCATTCGAACGGGGGAGTTTTGTATCGCGAAATCTCTGGATGTTCTTGCGGTTTTGGGGGTAACTTCTTTTCGGTACGGCTTTTTTGGGGGTTTGAATTGAAATTTTTCGCAGCTTTTATTTATTTGGGAAATTGAGTTTTCGTGGGCTTTTTATTTCATTTTAAGCATATTCTGGAATTTTTTTTCCCTGGAGGCGGTGGTGTGTTAATTTTGAATTTATTTGCACTTTGTATAACAAATAAGGCTCGTACAACGAAAAACACCAAACCGATCGCACATAATAAATTTATCAAAAATTAATTTTTAATCACAAAAAATATCTTAAAAAGCTTTTTTATTTCGCAAGAATTTTGAGAATCAATTTTTTCTTTCTTTTTCTTTTTTTTCTTTCTTTTCTTTTTATGTTGCTCTTCTTGGGTTGTGGCCGGTCCGCCGGCGACCGGCGGCCGGCGACGCAGACCACAACCCAGGTCGTACGGGCGTCATCATTAATCTACTTTAGCGAGAACTAATGAAGGGTAAATTTGTCACAAATATACTAGTTGAAGGTTTTGTGAGAAAAAAAAAAAATAAACAATTTGGTAAATATTATTAATAACAAAAATTTGGAGTTTTTGGTAATCAAAAAATTAGTTTAGGGTAAAAGTTAAAATAAAATATAAACAATTTGGAGTTTTGTATTAATAACAACAAATATTTTGTTTCTTCCGATTGGATTATTACATTTCTTTGCCTCCATCTCATGAAGCTCATTTTAATTATCGGGCCATTATTGGTAACCGCTTTATGTTTTATGTTTATATAAAGTCGGGATAATTATTGGTACTCCTTTATGTTTTGATTGTTGGCTTATCTTTATTCTGTAGTAAAATACAAATGGCGAATTCCGGTTATCGAATCTGTCTTGAAAGCTTTGTTACTTATTTTTATGAAATTTTTTTTTAAAAAATAGCACTTAACGAGATTATGTTTATTTGAAAGCCATCATTAATAATATCTTAAAAGTTTCATTTAGTGAATTAGGTAAAGAAGAGATTACTCAATTCATTAAATAGAAAAAGGAATCGATGACAATTAGGATATTAACAATTATATTTCTACACATACCAATAATTATCACAATTCTCTGTGCGGTAAAAGATTAATAGTCATCAGTAATCAATTTTCAGTTATTATTAAACAACTCTGTTTCTGTTTTCAACACTTAAAATGTAATGTTTAAATTTTTTCTAATTATTTTCAATTTTATCAAAAGAGCTCTAAAATCTAGGAAAATGTTATTATGGTAAAATACTCATGCTCAACTACCTCCACTTTTTCCATTACTCTCTCAACCACCTCATTAATTTCCCTCGCTTTTCGCTATACCCTTTCTCTTTCACTCCATTAAAACATTTTTTTTTTGGTAAGGCCATTAAAACATTTTTCGTTCATTCAATTTTTATAAATGATCACTTTTTAAAAAATATTATTTAAAATCATTCATTTTTTATGGAATATTACATTTCTTTGCCTCCATCTCATGAAGCTCATTTTAATCGGGCCATTATCGGTAACCGCTTTATGTTTTATGTTTATATAAAGTCGGGTATCGATAATTGGTACTCCTTTATGTTTTGATTGTTGGCTTATCTTTATTCCGTAGTAAAATACAAATGGCGAATTCCGCTTATCGAATCTGTCTTGAAAGCTTTGTTACTTATTTTTATGAATTTTTTTTTTTAAAATAGCACTTAACGAGATTATGTTTATTTGAAAGCCATCACTAATAATATCTTAAAAGTTTCATTTAGTGAATTAGGTAAAGAAGAGATTACTCAATTCATTAAATAGAAAAAGCAATTGATGACAATTAGGATATTAACAATTATATTTCTACACATACCAATAATTATCACAATTCTCTGTGCGGTAAAAGATTAATAGTCATCAGTAATCAATTTTCAGTTATTATTAAACAACTCTGTTTCTGTTTTCAACACTTAAAATTTAATGTTTAAATTTTTTCTAATTATTTTCAATTTTATCAAAAGAGCTCTAAAATCTAGGAAAATGTTATTATGGTAAAATACTCATGCTCAACTACCTCCACTTTTTCCATTACTCTCTCAACCACCTCATTAATTTCCCTCGCTTTTCGCTATACCCTTTCTCTTTCACTCCATTAAAACATTTTTTTTTTGGTAAGGCCATTAAAACATTTTTCGTTCATTCAATTTTTATAAATGATATAAATGATCACTTTTTAAAAAATATTATTTAAAATTATTCATTTTTTATGAAACAAACGGAACCTAAGCCTATATCTAATTAACTATCATTTTAAATTTCATGATAAAATCATTGAAATAGGTAGAATGACTAATTAAGTTTCAAACCCGAGTTAGGGATCCCAAAGATGTTGGGAGTAAGCCTTACGAGTCTTGCGCCACTAGACGAACTGTTGTAGTGTTGTTTACAATCAAACTCAGCAGCCCAAACAAGAAATCGAAGAATGACTAGGTTGAATTGTTGCCAAATAGACCTTATCATTGAACGGGTTGTGGGAGCTATGAGGAAGCATGGTAAAATTTTTGGAAAAATCGTCTTAAAAGTCTTTAACATATTCACGATGATCAATTCAAATATAAACTTTTTAATTTGGCCAATTCAATCCTAAACCTTTTGACGATTATCTAATGTAGTCCATTTGATCAATTTTATCAGCAAATGGCGAACATGACTGTCAGTCGTCCTACATGACACAATCGATACTAACGTTGATGATTTTTACAATTTTATTCTTAAATTTCTAAATTTTTATTATTTTGTTATTTTTCTTTTCTAAACCTTCTTTTCTTTTCTTTTCTTTTCCACCATTCATCTTCTCGGAAGGCCCGCACCGCCCGCCTCGACAATGGCCAGTGACCCTTGCTGGCCACTTGGCAAGGGCCTACACACTACCATCATCGCGCCTCTCCACGATCTTGTGGAACTTGATCACCGTCTGCTCGCATTCCACGGCCTTCTTCCACATGTCTAGGTACGAGCTCCCTTCTCCATTCGATCAAATCCTGACCCTAACAATCTACCCGATTCGACCTTGACTTTTAGCGACGTCGCTTAGCAAGCACCATTGCGTCCATGCAAGCGATGGACGTCACTTGCTCTGGTGAGTGCAATACTTAGTGTGACATTCTAAATTTTCCATTCTATCTAATATGTTAGTAATATTTTGTTATATAGAGATAAGAGTCATATTTATCCATATGGCTTTAATAATCACATGATTCTGTCCCTCTCTCATAACTATATTTTATTAGCCACTTGTAGCTTTTCTACTTAAACACCTCTCTTCATTTTCCACCAGGTATTTTAACCCACGTACTCTTATTTGTGCCATTGAATCTACCCCTAATATGACATCGTTTTTGACATCTCTCGATAAGCACCAATCATATAATGATTTTTATTCATGCATCTAATTAGGTGATTTTATGCTCTTTCCGGTCATTATCTTCATTTAGTTATCTAAATTAAGCCACTTGTCACCATATAAATAACCCACATGCTCTCAGTCAGTGGCATTGAACTTAGTCTAACGAATGACATCATGCATTGCATCATCTCTTTTAACTTTAGTTCATTAATGCTTTTGATAAGCTTGAATCCTCAATCGTGCACTTAATTGGCTAATAAAATAAAAGCCTTGCAAAACAAGGAAGGGGGCTCTAAGGAAGGGGACGACAGATGAGAAAGAGACAGAGCGAGGAAGGGGGGGGAGGGGGTTGTCATAGGCTCAGTCTAAGAGGAAGCAAAAAAAAAAATGAAGATATCTTCTTTAAGATAGCTTGGATTAAGGGATTAATAGCTGGGATTTTTCAATAATCATGTTCTTGGACCTTAGCCAAGTGAAACTCTATGGGCTAAATTGATCTAATGCTCTTAGTACTCTTGATCCTTGTTTGAGTTTAGCTTAAGGTATGAATAATATTACAAGGGCAAAAATATAAATTCACAGCATGTATATCTTCTGTGTATTGTGGTTTTTATTAGTTAAAATGAGTATTATTTAGTGATTTTGATAGATTAATTAAAGGAAATGAAATCGGGTAAAAAATCTAAGTAGTGTGGAATTTGGGCTAAATTGTAATTTCAAAAAGCTAGAGGTCTCATTTTATAACATTGGAAAAAATTTTGGGCTAATTGCATGTTAAGGATGGTTATGATGGTAGGTTTTTAATTAGCTTTACAATTAATTGTCTAATCTAGACAATTTATCCAACTAGTCAAAATTTTGACTTATTGAATAAATATTTTGAAAATGTGGTTGTTTTGGTAATAATACAAAATCTGGGAGTTGTGCATTTTTTCTAGTCGAAAAAAATCACTTCTCATTAGAAAGCAACACTACATAACTGACAGTTTCTAAATGTGACAAATCCCAAAGGGTTTGGGGGTTCGAAAGCCAATTTGGAGGAAAGGTCCCTTTCCGATGGGCTTTCATGATCCACTCCACAATTTGGCTCAATAAGAAAATGAATGGCCTTAGCCAAATGATTTGACTAGTAGAGCTAGATTAAGAGAAAATTGCGATAAAACATGAAATGAGAAATTAGTGTTGGTTAATATTGTAATTTTGTTAAGCTAAAATATTATATAATTGATGTGAATGTGATTATTGATAAGTGAGTGGCAGTTGTATTGTAGTGATGAATAGTCTAAGATAATGTTATGTACCAAATGCAATTGTTTTGTGAGTGGGTGTGCAAATAATAATAAATCGATGTTAATACCATTGTTGATACGGAAAAATATCATGATGCTAGTATGATATCGTTTATGAACATTGATATCTAGATATACATAGCAATTGTTATGTTTCAATGAATTGTATGTGAATGATGCCATGTGATGAAGACTTTTGCAACGGCCTATTCGCTAGAGAGCGTATTCATTTGTATGAGTATGCGTGAAAGACTATGAAATATGAATTGACTTGTGTAGCTTAAGTTGACCATCATCATGCGGTTGCATAGTGGCATATTTATCCTCATTAATGTAGAAAATGCTTGTGATGAATGAGCTGTGTGGCGTGGCCAAAAGGTATTTATGATTTCGTCCCTCATGAATTGGTGGTGACGGTGCTCGTGTGTGAAGATACCCTGGTAGTATTTGGGATGTCTCGTGAGTCGAGATGAGTCTTGATCAATAACGAGTTGGAAATAGTTACTCACTCGCGTATATCGATAAGTTACTATGTGGTATTTGCGCATCATGAGATTGATACGTTCATCTGTGTGCATTTGAGTGTTGAACTAAAGGTTAGCTCATAGGATCTATTTTATTCATTGCACACATGATTATTGTCATAACGTATGTATTACATTATCTCGAACAAACTTAAATAATATGTTTTGCAAGTGTATGCAAACACTCGTTGTTTTGAATATATTGATCTCCTTACTATTGTAGTGGGCAAGCGTTGAAGGAAAATTGACATGGTTGGTAGTGTTTATGACTGTCTTTATGAGTATGTGGATTTTTTATATGCTTGTAAATCTATGTCATGATGCGTGCTTTCAATAGATGAATTAGTTAACATGTTAAATTGGGATTAGATTTTTTTTAGTCGGAAAATTGGGATTAGATTACAAATCATGTAGAATATATGATGTGTTCCTCGAGTGATTGAACTATTTTATTATGAATATATAAATAACTAAGAAATACCGCAAATAAATGAGTGATTGGTAGTTTTTAAATTTATAGTGACCCAAAATGATATGTGATATTATCTATTAATTGTTACTATGATGTTGTGCTCCAGAGTCAAGTGGTAAGTAAATCTCTTACTTTAGACCTAAAGCTTTTCATTTACTGAGTTTAGGCTCACCCCAAAATACTTTACAGATTGGTTAAGTTCGAATCTCAAATACATTTAGATTAGTGTTTTCGAAAATCTCCTTTAAGGATTGGATCAAAGTGATGTATTTCTATACATAAGATTTTGGTGTACACTAGTTGAGGTTAAATTATTTGTACAATTGAGAATAAATTAATTATTCATCGGAAGATCAAAGTGAAGTTAAAATATTTATTCATTCGAGGTTCAAATTTAATGAAAATTCAAGTCGTGATACTAAGGTCGACGGCGGCACGAGAGAAGGAGTTGAGCTGTAAAGCCAATGGCGGAGAGCTTCGGTAAAGTAACTGAGACGAAAATTGGTGGAGACTAGAGAGCCATTCCATTTTGTTTGGATTCTTGAAGTCAACACTGTGGCTAGCGAGGGTATAGTGGCCCATTTCTCGGCCACCGGCGAGGTTTGGCTCAGTGAGGGTCATGAACCTCGCCTAGGACCGACGACCCTAGTCGACTCTCACCCGGGCCTCGACGACCTCCATGTAGGGAAGATGAATAGGAAAGAATAGGAAAAAGAAAGAAAAGAAAAGAAAAAAAAATCAGAATTTTTTTTAAAAATTGCAAAAAAGTCATTTACGTGAACGTCAGCCATGCCACGTAGGACAGCTGGCATCGTGTCAGTAATTTCTGACTAAAATTGAGCAAAATGATTATAATTGGCAGCCATACAGTGACTTTAGCAGTTTTTGAAATAATACGAAACTGCCTCCCCCCCTCGGTTGGTATCGAACTCGTGCTCCTGTGAAAGACGGACAAGCACGAAAATCAGTGCGCTAATTAAGCACGGCAGGACGGACCGCAAAAGAAAAACCGCTCTTACTAGCACCAGCAACATTTCCAAGAAAATCTTAGGGAGGCTTAAACCGACTCTTGCTTATGTGTAACGCACCCACCATACCTAATATTAAATCTCAGACTGACTCAAAAGCGGGACTTGGACGCATCCACTGCCCATAATTCAACTTGAATTTGTCGTTGAAATTTACCACCTACATAGTGCATAAGTCCGTGAAGTCCGTTCTTCACTCCATCAAAAAGAGAAGCAAGTTTCCGTTTCTTACATTAAACTCTCATAAAACCAAACCGAGTTCGACTGCTGCACTTCAATGATCGAGCCAAACTGTTAATTTGTGTTTTTGTTGAAGACCGGACTAGAAGGACTGCTTCCTAGTTTCTGGAACCAGGGACCAAACCGGTTCCCAGTTTCCCGGGCGGTCCAACGGGAGATGAAAATAAAATCAAAATGCAACTCTTCTCACATATTCGTGCCAAGATATTGAGAATCCAAACTACTCATTTCCAGCGATAAGTTCGTGAATTTGACCACGTCACGAACCCATTATGATACTAATTGGTTGGTGCTGTACTCCCTTTGAGAGTTTATAGATTATTCATAGTGGTTAATTTTATGATTAGCTTACCGAACACAGAGAACAAAGATAGACAACGAAATAGCTATGAGAGGGACACGTGAGAAGGGAGGGGAAAAATTTGCGCGAAAAATAAAAAAAACAAAAAAATTTATCAATCCGGTTCCCCCTTGGAACCAAGGACAGGACTGAAAATCATCGGTTCTAGTTCGATCAGTCCGTGTTGCTCACCCCTTTTTTTTTTTGGTCGAAACATCTCATTAGTATTCATCATCCAATGACCTCTCTATGTAGATTAATAATAGATTAATAAAAAATAAAACCTCAAAAAGAAAAGGAAAAAAAACAAGGACAAATTCAGCTCATTTGCTTGCGCGCGTGCCTAAGTGGGCCGGACCGCTCCCCTTTGTGGATAACGCCACGCCGGATCCTTCCAAAAAGCGCACGGCGGGCGCGCGCGCACCGGGTTACCCTGCATCCCCTCCGCACCGGCACGCCCCCCCTCCCACAGCGGCTCGAAATCCGCAACCCCAGCTCGCCCTCCCTTTTCCCGAAAACTATAAATACCTCCCATTTTCCCCCAATTTCGTGCCCTAGAAACCATCCCCCCTTCTCTCTACCCCCGCATCGCCTCTTCTCCTCGGCCGCAAGCGATGCGCTCCCGCCGCCCGTCCTCCGTCGCCGCCCCGCCGTCTCCGCTCTCCCGTCGGATTCCTCGCTCGCCGGCGCTCCCGTCGCCGTCGGTCTCGTAGCCTAGCCTAGCCGAGCCGAGCCGAGCCCTTCCCCTGCTGGTTGGATCGCCCCCGGGATCTATGGTGCTAGGGTTTCCGCGATTCGTGGTCGGGGGGCGGTGATGGACGCGGTGGAGCTGCCTTATCCAGTTGACGTTGCGGCGGCTGCGGTGTCTAAGCTTATTATGGGGTCGGATGGGTTTGTCGGTAGAGCTGGCGTCGGTGCCGGAGGCGGCGTGGTCGTCGCGGCGAAGAAGGTCGAGCCTCGCGGGGGAGGCGCCGATTTGGACCGCGCGGCTGGGATCCTTCCGATCAGGCCGTGCGGCGCGGCTGGTGACAGGAAAGGTGAGTGTCTTTTCGGGCTCATTTCTGATCCTGCGAATTGTTTTGTATAATTAGTTCTGAGATTGTATTGCTGGAGAGAGGGGTTGGAGTGGTCTAGAGATTTTCGAAGCTAGAGGGATGGGTTGCTTTCTTTTTGGATTTGGTTTTGTCAGTTATGTGCAAAAATTTGGGGTTCATGTAGTTTGATTTCCTCATTTGTGCTTTCTTTTGGGGAGATTGGATGAGTTTTCAGTCTATGTGAAGGCAAAAGGGCTGCTCTATTTGGAGTTCATGTTCCTCAGATTACTTAAGGCGCTTTACTAACTGATGCTAGTATGAGAAGTTTGCTCACTGGTGGCTATTCTAACTGTAAAAAGAAAAGGTGCTGGTGGAAAAGGTCCTTATGTTAAGTGATTTGACTTTCTGCTGGACTGCCTTTGGTCACAGTCATATCCATCCCCAGGGCGCATCTTTGCCTTTCCTTGCTGGTAATTAGACTGGGTATTATTCCTTAATGAAAAATGGAGATTTCTGCTTTTTGTGGTCTCTTATTCTCGTCTTTGTGGTTGGTAATTAGAATTCTGGCCTTCATCATTATTTGAATGATCTGAGCGAGAAATAAAGAACAACTATTCCCTTGAATTTTTTCTATGAAATTGAGTTGCTTCCCCTTATCGGTTCTCATTGAACGGTTATCTTGTTCTATCATTATCTTTCCAGATGTGGCAACTCCTGTAAATGCTTTGGACATGCCTTCCCAGCATAAAACTACAGAAGCTGAAAATTATAGGCATAATCATCTACTGCCAGATTTCCATAGTAAAGATGTAGCTCAAGATCGTCCCAGGTCTGATGTGAATTTTGTTCATAGCCCTGGTTCTGAAGATGTTCGATTGCCATGGAAAGCAGGGAAAGTTCCAAGGAACAATAATACAAGCTCCAAGAGAGCACGGAGTACTCAAGTGGAAGATGCTTCAGCAATTACTTTAGCTGATGAAGTGAAGGGATTGACAGATAAATCTTTGACAAGAAGTGGCTCTTTAGGTAATTGTTGATATTTTCAAAAGTCAAAAGTAGAAGTATGAGTTGTCATTAACGAGTATATATGCTCCAATAAGTTAACTTTTAACTTTTGGGAACTTGAATCTCCCAAGATAGTAGTACTATTGCTGTCTGAATTGAAAGTTTTGTTGGTCATGCTTTAATCCAGCCTTTTCAGTTGCTAATGCTCTATGCAATGGCTAAGACTTCAGCTTCTGATAGTATGTTGATGTCAGAAGGTTAACTTTATCGATAATATGGGTGCATGTTTGATGCAATTTGAAAGTTTTGGCTGTAAGTGCTCACGAGGCATATATTGATTGTTGATAAAAGGATTTCTTCTTTCAATGAAGCATACTCTGTGGATAGTCTGAATATGAATTTTTACCTTATTTTTTCAGTCTTCTAGCTATATGCTAGTTCATAAATTTAGCAGGAGATGCATATCCCGTACCTTGAGTTCAAGTCAAAGGAAAGCATATTTTCCATGATAGGGATCAGAGAATTTCTTTTTGTTTTAGGTTCTGCCCTTTTATTCGAGTGTTTTCTATTAAGATAGAATTATGCCCGATACTTCTTCCCAGCATATAATATTATCATGGAATTTGTTATACCTGAAAGGTTGTTTGAGTAATAATTTAGTTTGAAATAATTGAAGGTTTGTGGTGTCATTGCTCTGATAGTTAGTATGCATCTATATTTTTTTAAAATGAGCTAGTGCTGATTATGTTTCAACTTTTATGCGCTATTGCACCACTCCTCAGAGAAAAATCATTCGGCGAAACAGAGGACTGTAGGCAGTAAACGGGGTGATAGAAGAAACAGCAAAGCCCCTGTGAAAAATAGATATGACGCTTTCATGACGAGGCCTTGTTCTTCAAGTTTTACTGTCTCTCCAGGAGGAAGCAATTTTCTAGGTACAGCTATTCTACATTTTATTCATAATTTTACCCATTCAGAAAACTTTAGATTGATTTTCAGTTTCTTTTCTTTTGTTAATGTCGAGGAAAACTGCGCATTTTTGTTTCGAGAGAACATTCTCTAAGGATGTCATCTTCAGCAGAGAAGTGACGTGAATGCTATACAATTAAAGTATCTTGTCAGTGGCAATGTTCCATGACTATATAATGCAAAATGCTGACAGCAAAAGGTTTCAATTTCAGGACCATAAAATTACCCTGCATCTGAGTGTGTGAACATGCTGCAACTTTGGGCATTTACTTTGACTCAGCTCCATGATATGCTTAATGGCTCATGCAATTTCTGGTGCTTGTTATGTTTCTGATATTGCAGACCAATGGTAGAGAAAGGCATAATCATTTTAAGTTAAGATATGTTCCTAGCAAAAACTGGAATACTGGCACGGGAGTGAGATTACTGTATTGCCAACAGCCAAAGCATTTTAGTTGATTCTCATCCTCTTATAGTATTGTCGATAAGTTTATCATTGTCTGCAAGCCTGCTTAAGCGTGAACTGACTCTTGGCTTGCTCTTCAAGAAGAGAGTGGAAGTAGAGAACAGAGTAATGAGCAATTGCATGTTCATGGGCACGGTAGTTTCAGACATAGGCGCTGGATAGTTTTTTTGAATCTTAATAGTTCAAAATAAAGCATGCCAACTCTAGTTGCGGAACTTTTTCGTATGTTGGTACTGTCATTGTAAAAGGTGTTGCTCTGGATATGAGCTTGTTAAGAAGATGTGATGTGTTCCCCGTAATCAGATTTTGTGCATTAAGGGTTTTTTTCAATCGCCAGAAAGAGAGGTAGATAAAAGATGCTGTTGTACTTTATTGGAAATGAATATCCTACTACAATCCCCTTGTCCATTCCTTTGGACCAGCCAGTACCCATGCACGCAACATAATTTTTACCTTTCTGGTGTGACTACTCTGAAGTTACAGATGCATAGGATATATTGACTGAATCAATAAGTATCTTTGCTGTTTATAGGAGTTCTTTCTCAGCTGTTTCCACTGGAAAGCAAAGATCATCATCTACTATCGCTGAGTCTATTTATTTTATCTTTTATGAATAGCTTTCTCTGCTAATATTACTAATTTTCATCTTGATATTCCCAAATTCTATCACCAGTGCCATGGTGAATGCTTCTTCTTCCTTCTCCCTTTAAAGAAAGTCTAACAGATGCTTCAAAGATCTTTAAGGGCCTAAATCCTTAAGGACTTTCAATCTGCATCTCCTTAATCATTTTTGCTAATACTATGGGAGAATGCATGGATTTGCTAAGTTTTTCAGTTGGCTGGCTTCTCTTGACTGAGGTGTTTTGTGCAAGAGCATTGTGCTGTAGTTCTAATGTGGTTTCAGTCTTTGTGGACTCTAAAACTGCATCTCCTTCACCATTTATTCTAATTCTATTGGAGAAAACCTGGATTATCTAAAATTTTCATTTGGCTGGCTTTTCTGGATTGAGGTTAGTTCTTTTAATATTGCGCTTCTTGATGTTTGGGCAAGAGCATGCTAAAGTAGTTCTCTCGTGGTGTACCGCAATAGGATTGAGGTGTTCTCATTGTTGTTTAATATAATTCTCTTCTGTACAAAATTGAAAACCAGAAATAACTGAGCAGTCGAGTGACTTAACTTATCAAAAGGAAATAAGGACTGACATAAGCTATGGACGAGCTATTCCTCCAATGTACCATGCTGGTGTTTTGCTTTTCAAGTGGCATATAATAAGTGTTAGCATTATTGTTGCACAAAATAGTAGCTTGATTTACTGTCCACCTGTCCTTTGTTTTATGTTGGCTTTGTTGCTTGCAGCTTCTGAAATGTGATGTTTTAAGAGTTATAAAAAAAATGATTTAACGTGGACATCCTATTAATGACAGGGTTCTATGGTCTGAAGTCAGATAATCGTGATATTACAAAGCTTGTGGATGACCTGTCATTAATTGACATCCTTGAGGGTACATTCAAATGCCCTAGTTTAGGCAAAGAGAAAGGGAAGAAATCAGCTAATGCGGATGATAAATTAACTCAATCAGTTAGAAAGGCGTGCTCCGTGCTTCAGCCCCTGAGGCGAGGCCAATCCCAAAATCTTGCTGAGATAGAGATTTGCGAAGACAAGAAAATATCCTCTGTGTTAAGCTCCGCATCCCTTGCAGAAAGTGGTGCTGAGGGTGATTACAGGGACATGTACTCGGTCGACCCCTCTTCATCCAATGAGGTAAGTTTGGAGGAGTATTTATGAGAAATGAAGATTTTTTGAACTTTCATTTTGAATTTTCCCAGGGAGAGTGCCCATGTTGGGCCAATCTTTGGTCTCTACGCATGTGGACTTGACCAATGATTCTTCATGCTTTTGATATCGATCACATAAGTCTTTGTTATGGAGTTGATGGCATATTTCTGCTCGAACAAACATAATTAGCGTAATGCGTGATGGATCTGTTGTACTCTTGGACATTGTAGGATTTGGGTTGATACAGTCAGAGCGGACCAGTTACCTATTTTTTTGCTCTAATTCTTTTCATAACAACCAGGGCCCCTGTGGGAAGCCGGAGACCTCTGTGGATCCTCTTGATTTGCCACTATATACGCCAAATGACCTATGGGAGAGATTGTCACTTCCTCCGCCTAAGGATTTGGACTCCTTGCTCCTGGATGCTGTAAAACCTGCTTTATCTTCAAAGAGCATGTCTGATCTACGTTCAGGCAAGCAAATAGTTCGCCGAGGTTGCTTGCCGCTTTTTCCATGGTCACATGCTTTTAATGGACATTCTCGGAATAATTCTGATGCCGCTAAATTGTCCATTAGTAGGAATACTTGCCAGGGTAGATGGGTAAGGGTAGCAAGTCCTGTGATTTTGGCTGCAAATTCAGCTGATTGTTATACAGACTTGGAGTCTATCACCTATAACGAGGGCCTGGTTCCCTCTGTAAAAAGAAAAGCAGGTATTTTGGCGAGTAAAATTGCTTCTCAAGAATGTTCTGGGATTCCACCATATGACTGGGCATCATCTTCTTCTGCAACTTGCTCTTTTCCCTCCAACCCAACTCTGGGTAAGACATTCTGGCATTGTTCAGATTCTATGGATTCTATAAGTTTATTTTTTTGCTCCTTCTAACAGCCTTTGTTTGGTCAAATGGAGCAGCACAATCTAGAGTTGAGACGGAGAATGAGATTCATGGTATGATTCAGTTACCAATTGCATTGTTAGGAAATCCAGCATCTATATTCTTGGTTTGTTTGTCTGCTAACTCGTGATTTTATGAATCTGGGGATGACAGGTCTAGAATAAGAATATTGTAACTGATATACATGAATTCTGTCGTATATTGCAGGATAATATGTTAAACATAGAATTTCTATGTACTAAGTAGGCACTAAAGCAAACATAGAAGTTCTATGTTTTAAGTAGGCACTAAAGCCTTATAACCCTCAATGTAATATTTTGATGTTAGATGGTCACATACCATTTAGACAGGCTATGTTGTCTTTTTGTTAATAAAAGAAAAGAGGAAGATAGTGAACCAACCAATTTATGACATCTCTTAGTGTGATGGGAGGAACTAAGCACATCTAGAAACTGTTGCCAAAAATTTGTATAATGCATAACTAGACCCTGTAATCAATATAACGATGGTGTTGTGTTGATGTCAATGACCACTCTCTCTCATTAGTAACGGGACCTCAGTTAACCAGAGTAATGGACCACCATTACCAGTTGGAAAATTATTTTATAAATCAAAAAACTCCTTTGCAAGCTAAGCAAAAAAGAGAGAGAAAAAGGAAAACCCTTTGCCATTTTGTTAACATGGAGTCTTATGCACATTTTCAAAGTTTGAAATTGAAGAGATCTCAGTGCATTTGAGGTTGAAAGAACTTCTAAAAATTTTAACGCCAGAGAGTCTAATTCGTCTGTGCTGCTCCTTGAGGTTGTTTTGTTTTCCCTAGTGTTGTGGCATGTGATGAGGGTTGTGTGCTTTTTCGTACCTAGACATGCACTTATGTTATTCACCTTTATTAGATGTTATCTGCCTGGATTTATTCCCAAAAACTGTTTCCGTTACATGACAGAGAGCCTGTGCCCAAGTCTGTTAGCCGCTGCGCAAACCTTGTGTGGTATTGCAAGCAAAGAATCTGGGAGGTCTTCACTGAAGTGGTCAATAAAGCCTCTGCAGAAGGCACCAAAACCTCGGAAGTTGAAGTCGAGCAAAAATTGTGAGGAAGCTCTTGTGACGCCAAAGTCAGAGACCAAAGATGTCACCAATAATTTGGACCAAATACTGTCATCGAAGAAGCCTAAGCTCTCCAACATGGACATCTGCTTTACTAAATCAACAATGAGTTGGTCTACCCCCAGATCGAGCAGATCATCACCAAGCAGATCAGTCAGGGACTTTGTTGCTGAAACTAGACATTCCATGACTAGCATCTCAAAGCAATCGAGCATGTTGCCACCAGCGGCACGGGTTTTTGATAAGGCTTATGACAGCCATCAGAAGCCCAAAACGTCCATGCCGTTGCATTGGAGCAGAGGCAGGGGGGACGGTCTACACTGACGCACCCTCTACTCCTATAAGGTCCAATTTGCACTGTATTTACTGTTTTAAGATGGGGAAAACGGACAGATTTTGTACATAATGTATTGTCGAAACTGTGAAACAGTCGGAAATAGAAGATGCCCCCTCTAGGATGCGGAAGCGGGTACTGTTGTAACCTGTAACAATTATTAGGTTTCGCAAAACAAGTTTAGCATACTGAGAGGAATTGTTTGCCGCCCTATGTAAAGCATTTCGAGTGGCAGTTGAATTCTTACTCTTCTACCCCAGAATCCTCTGTTTGATAGATTGCTGCTTCAATTTCGGTTTCGGTTTCGACGGCGCTATCGCAATGGCTCGTTGCTGGTCGCTCTTATCTGTTACTTATAAAGTGTAGAGGACGTGATTTTGAGGAATGCCTTGTGATGAGAATACAGAGAATCATGGTGCGATTTTCAGATTACAAATAGTTACAGCTTAATTAGGACAAAAACGCTAATCCAACAAAGTAAGTAAATCTGACAAAATAAATCAACTTGGTAGAACTTCCTCGCTCATTTCACAAAGGCGGATTTATTGTAGTATCAAAGTACAACCGTTGTCCGATTAACAAATCTCGTATCGTCATTAGTGACGTGTGCAGGTCGAGATTTTTCTTTTCAGTAATTATGATTTTGTCAAAAGCCGGTGCACGTCCACTCTGCATTGGCTAAATTTGGTGGAATCCTGTGATGTGTGGACCAGCTAATCCTCGGAGAAAAGTCACAAATGCGTCAAATCAGAAGAAAAGGTGCATTTTCCGCCATTCGATTCTCGCATTTTTTCTTTTGGGAGCTTTTCAGCCTCTCTCTTGCATCAACACCAGATACAGAGTTTTATACGAAGTTCGAAGTCATCATCACTCCAATTAAATAAATTCAAATAGATTATTTTGGGAATACTGTATACAGCTTGGGGATGTAGCTCAGATGGTAGAGCGCTCGCTTAGCATGCGAGAGGTACGGGGATCGATACCCCGCATCTCCATTGTCCTTTTTCTCTCCTCTCTTTTTCACTGCTCCTCCTCCTCTCCTTTTTTGAGGACATTCGACTTTGATTTTGATCCACAGTTGCCAGAACAAAGAGCCATCGGCAAATTCTCTCTTGTTCTCTCTCATTCTCATTCCTAGGAAAACATTTGATTCAACAAAAAGCCATCCGCAAATTCTCTCTTGTTCTTCCTCATTCTCATGCCTAGGAAAACATTTGATCCAACAGCAGAACAAGAGCCATGGCGAAACCGCAGTCAAACCCCGGCCGCACAACCAGCGAGAACACCTCCGTCCCAAACGAACCCCCGCCAGGACTAGCCTCCTTCCTCTTGATTTCTGCCACCACATCTCGCGATGACTCCTCGAGCACTTTACACGACCGGTTCGCATACGACCCCTCGATCACGTACTCCCGTGCCTTACCCGGCATGGCACGGCACACATATGCGATTGCATTGGAAGCAGCACGTAAGATGCCAACCCGCCTCCTTACGCAGCAGATAGGTTTCTTTCTTGATAATTTGCTAGATTTGTAAGAAGGTCCGTTGTCGCGGTCCTCGCCTTCATAGACCAGCCAGTCATCCGGCCTTGCAAGTAGTTTCTGCATTTCATGTCCCAATAGATGATGAATGAGTCTATGCACTTGCTATCTTAGTGAACATCATCAGCATACGCAGAAAACGATGTCCAAAAATGCTACCCTACCTTGAGTCGGCGCAGGGTGAGGACGGATTTGCCGGCACCATCCATGAGGACGACCTCCCGCGGACGCCCGCCGTAGCTGTCAACTCGGTAGACTATGTCCCCGCGCGAGTCAATCACCGTGAAGCCATTGCAGTTGATCAGGAGCGACTTCCTCCACACCGTGAAGGAAACGCAGGCCTCTTCCGCGTTACTATCATGGCGGGGTTCTCCGATCTGGTGTCGATCCTCGTTCGGGATCGTCTTGCACAAGGACGCGAGGCGTTTGTATTCATTCTCAAACTGCTGCTCTTCGTGGACGGTTCTTGACAAATATCTCAGGAACAGGAACATCTTCTTCTTGTCGGGTGCGTCTCTGCGGCTGAAAGCTCAAAGTGGTAAGAGGAGAGTCCCGGTTCGAGGTTTACTTATATCGAGGTTTATAAGAAGCGGACGGAATGTTTGAGGTTCGAGTCACACGTCATTTCACAGATGATGCAGTGGCAAATTTCAAACTTTGTGAGATCAGATGAAACGACCAGTCAACTGTAGCCGTCAGTGTCGAAACGATCCGAGACATTGCATGACGACCAAAGTTTCCTAATTTGCCACCCACGGATTTGGAATTGCACCTCAAGAAATCACTGTGTTTAAGGGATTCTCCACGTGTACCAATGCTCGAAGCCCGCCCTCGAAGTCGAAACCTAACCGGTAGGTTTGAATGGGGTCGAGAGCTATTAATAAATGATTCATCGCAATAATTCTGTTCAACATATCTTATAATTCACATGGAATCAGCCCCCGTCGACGCGACACTGTGCACGGTCGTCTCCGTCACGTCAAAGATTCCATATCACTAGCCCTGTTCTTTTTTTTCACTTTGTTCTCCTTTGTTCGATGAGAGTTAGGTTAAGGTGCGTCTGTATGTTGGTGGAGGTGCAGAGAGATCAGCAAGAAAGAGACAGAAGGGGGAGCAAGAAAATCAAGAAAATGTGGGGAAGGGTGAAATCCAAGAGAAGTGCTGGTGGTTGTTACCGCCATGGGTGCTTTCTTTATTCTTCTTCCTATGTGCTGAAGTTTGCCCTAATGAGGTCAAAAGTAGGACTGGAGATATTTTCTCTTGGATCTTTCTGAAGGCGACTTTGTTGCGTGAATCGAAACAACGTGTTTTGATTCTTGCCCTTTGCCTCCCTGTTTTGAAAGCGATTGCTACGAGCATGCATATCACAGAGAGAGAGAGAGAGAGAGAGAGAGAGAGAGACACGAGGCTGCAATGCATTCGTTAGTCCAAAGTTCATAGCCTAAAAAGTTGGAAAAAGGGTTTACCAATGAGAAAATCGAGGCCTCCGATGAATTCCTACGTGGAGAAAAGTTATAGGGCTTGAATTTTAATATTTCGAATGACCATGTTCTAGAATTCGGACGACCTCAGCATGAATACCAGTAGAGGAAAAAGTTTTCCCATCTCCGTTTATGCGAATTAACCCGAAAATTAAGGTTATTTTGGCTCGTGAGTTACAATGTTCTAAAAGAATTTAGACGTCCTTATCCTTGTTAAAGTATAAACGTCGGTAGAAGATAAATTTTTCTCTTCTCCATTTATATGAATTATCCCGAAAATTAGGGTTTTTTTTACTCGCGAGTTACAATCCGTGGCATAGAATGCTTGGCTCTTCTCTATCGGACAAGCAATCAGACGTATCACACAAAAATAATCTGCATCAAGTACCACAACACCAAATAGACTCTTATTGTTGTTTCTAGAGTTTGGGTGAGCTCCATTGACAATAAGGACCGTGTTAAAAAGTGTCCAGAAGTACTTATTAAGTGATTAATCAAGGAGATGTAATGAAATCTAATATATTTACTGACCTTATAAAAGGTTCGTAATCGGTATTTCGAAAATTGAAACTTCCTTTTCCAATCGACAAGTGTCTCCAAACGATATTCATGAACAAGATTTTTGTAATAATATATGATGACAAATGCCAAACAGATTCGATCTTATCTGGACAATGACATTAGCCATGCCAATTTTGCCATGCCAATTTTGTTGTGAGCAGCCGACCATGATCAATTTCATACCGACCTTCCTCTCTCTCTCTCTCTCTCTCTCCACAACAGCAATCTGTAATATTCAATATGTTATTTTGAACTTTCTGGGTTTCCAATCCTGATCGAACTCGAATCTTGACCCTTTTGGAAGGGCTAGGTACACTGATGAGTGTGCATGATGAAGGCGCCTTCACCATGACACCGCCTCACATTGGCTCCTGTTGTTTCTCTTTAATCGATTCTTGATCTTACCTGTTCCATCATCGATATGGAAAATGTAGGAATAAATGGAAACACTCTTTTCTAGGGTTTCTGCTTAATCTAATGGAAGTTCCTTTGTTTAGTAGGGGTGTGCATCGATTCTGGTCCAATCCGAAAATTAAACGAACCAAACCGAACCAAACCGGTTCTGATTGGATCCCAGGGAAGGAAATTGGTCAAGTTTTCAGTTCCACATAAGGAGCCAAATCAATGGACTGGCCAAGATTTCTTAATTATTTTTATTCTAAAACAAATCTCAATTAGTAAATTATTTTTTTCTTTCAATGTTGAGAACTTCCACTTGTAGGTAATAGAAAAAACCAAAAAAAAATTTTAAAAAAAGAAGAAATCATCGATTTCGAGATCAACCCTGAAATCGAACTGGTCGATCTAGTAATCGACCCGTTCAGGTTCTAGGGTCGGACCTGCCAGCTTAAAAACCTATCGCCCATGTTATTTAGTCAAGGAAGACAGCTAGAACCAGACAAAGTGGTCTACAATCCTTTCCTTAATTTGAATATTGAACTTTCTGGACAACTTGACTTGTGTCTCCTGTCATTAATGATACGCGATCTCTCATTAAGTATTATATGAATCATGGACACGGCTTTCTCTCTGAGCACATTAAATCTGCTGGGATGCGCCAATTTTTCTGGTGGTATTGTACCCTTTATGTAGATTCTTTTACTTAACTATTGATGAGATGATGATGATGCAAAGCTTTGGAACGAGGCCTTCACCCACGTGCACATTTGCAGATTGAAAAGCATCTCTGTCTGATCTTTTTAATATGGAGAGGAGTGTAAATTTGCTTTTGCAAAATGTACCTTAGCCTTTCACAACATATAATTTAACATGCTGAAAGATATTTTATTCGTTAAAGAACCTCGTTAAGTTTTTGCAGACAATTACAACTAAGTTTGGAGACGGGTACGGCGAAGAGAATGTATTATCGATGGAGCCTCTAATATTGATAGAATGGCTTCTGGCGATTGTGTTCAAAGATAATATGGTGTCGAGAACCAAACCAAGTGTTCTCCAATTGTATCTTATTAATTAGGGGTGTGCAAACGGAACCGCCCAAACCGGGAACCGCCCGGACCGGACTGGACTAACACTATTTGGGTGGTTCTAAGGGGTGCCGGTCCGGTTCCCGGTTCCTAAAAGTGGAACCGGTGTCCGAGCTGTCCGGTTCCCGGTTCCAAGGGGAACCGGACCGGACGACCGACATAATTTTTCTTCAAAAAAAATTAATAAAATGTAAACTAAATCCTAAGTGAACTTTATTGACATAAATTCTTTGATAAAAATTAGTAAAATATGAACTAAACTCTAAGTGAACTTCATTGATATAAATTCATTGATAAAAATTAGTAAAATGTGAACTAAACCCTAAGTATTTGACCAAAAAAAAAACTAAATCCTAAGTGACCGGTTCTATTGGACCGGACCGGACCGACTGTCCGGTCCGGTCCGGTTCCCGGTCCTAGGACCAAATGGTCCGGTCCACGGTTCCCAAAATTGGGAACCGGTTCTCCCGGTCCGGTTCCCGGTTCCACTTGGAACCGGACCGGACCGGTTCCACTCGATACTTAATTGAAGTGGATAATGCGATGATAATATGACATGTGAGGTGATACATTATATAAGAGATTTAAGAATTTGGTAAGGTTCCTATGCATATCGGTTGGGGGGTAGTATAAAAAAAGTCATAAAATTATTGCATTGGTACCAATTTAATTCCAAACTTTTCAATTGAACCAATATAGTTTTAAACATTTTTACATTGGTACCAATTCAGTCCATCGGCCAATATAGGCCAGAAATTGTTGATGTGGACACTGGATGTCCTAAGTGGCATAACCGGCGCCGACGTAGATAATTTTCTAAATTTTCATTTTTTATTTTTATGAATTCTTTATTACTCTTTTCTTTTCTTTCGCCAACTGTTCGCCGGCCACAAGTGAGGTCTAGGCAAGGGCCTTCGTGCCCTCGTCAGCCACAGGTAGGGGTGTCAAATGGGTGAGTCGGGTCGGGTTAAAAATGGTCCGACCCATATTGACCCATTTAATCCGTTTTGACTCATATTCATGTAGTGTAAATCTAATGACTCATACCTGACCCGACTCGTATTCTAAAAGACTTTAAAATTCAATTTAGAAAAAAACTTGTTTCTTATAATATTTATATTGCTAAAATGCTTCAATGCAATATAAAATAAGTGAACAATTTTTATAATTTTAAAAAATATATTTTTTATATCTTCATTTTCTTTTTATTTTTAAAAAATGAAAATTTAATTCTTTTTCTTTTCCTTTTTTTTTCTTTCTTACGGCACCGGCCGCAGTGAGGTCGCCGATCCGGACGAGCCTCGAGCTCACCCGAATCTGGCGAGCTCGGGTGAGTTTGAAGCTCGCCGGTTGCCGTGGCCAGCGACCGGCCGGAGAAGAAGGAAACAAAAAAATAAAAAAAAGGAAAAAAATGAAAAAGAAAAAAAATGAAAAGAAAATAAAAATTAACAAAATTCGACTTTTCAAAAAAAATAAAAAATAATTTTTTTAAAATGACTCTTAAGCTATTTAGCCTACAAGGTAGAGGTGGCCACGGGCGGTTTTGGCCCGAACCGGACGAACCGCCCCGGTCAAACCCGGCCCGGCCCGTTGACCGGGCCGCGGTCGAACCGGCCCGTGGCATACGGTCCCGGTTCCGGGTTCCGAAAATTAAACCGGCCGGAACCGCCGGTTCCGGGCCGGTTCTGCGAAAAAAAAAAAAAAAGTGCAGGGCAGGGATAGCCTGCAAGGCAGCCACGCCGCAAGCAGCCCGCACCCGCAGCCCGCAGAGAACGGGCCAACGGCCCAACAAAAAAAAAAAAAAATAGACTTATTTGCAGCAGGGCCTACGGACGTGCAGCCTTGCGCGCCGCAAGCACCTTGCGGCCGGCGCGCGTGCGGCCCGTTGGGGCAACGGCTACGCCTCAACGGGCATTTTTATAATTAAAAAAAAAAACATAACCGTTGCAATTTTGCAACGGTTATGTTTTATTTTTTTAATTCTAAATTTTCTTCTATTTTTTTCCTATAAATTCT